TTTTTTCTTTGACAGAGTTTTGCTCTTGTTACTCAGGCTGGAGTGCAATGTCACAATCTCGGCTCACTGCAACCTCTGCCCCCGAGTTCAAGTGATTCTCTTGCCTCAGCCTCCTGAGTAGCTGGGATTACAGTCATGTGCCACCATGCCCAGCTAATTTTTCTATTTTTAGTAGAGACAGGGTTTCACTGTGTTAGTCAGGCTGGCCTCGAACTCCTGACCTAAGGTGATCTTTCCACCTCGGCCTCCCAAAGCGCTGGGATTACGGGCATGAGACACTGCGTCCAGCCAAGTCACTGAGATTTTTAAAGTTGTATATTACCGCAGCATAAACTGGCTTATTCTTACAGGTATAGACCCCTTTTTTCAGACAAGAGGCATCAGATGGCCTGTGAGAGAAACCAACCAATCAACAAAAAGGCACTCTTGTCCATTTTAGCTCATTAGTTCCAAGAACTAAGGAATCATGCTTTTTAAAACATCATTTATACATAATTGCCAAAATGCAAGCAAAGGAAGTGCTTAACAGACCTTGAATTATTTAAAATACTAATAAAACCAACTTTCAATAGAACCTCAGACATACTCTCTTCGTTAGAGGATCATTTGTCCCAATTTGAAGAAAGTTTCAAGCTACCAAGTACTAAAGTGCAATGTTATGAGCAGATTAGTATCTTTCAACACCCCCTCCATAACCTGGTATCATCAGAAATAAAAGAAAAATGAACAAGGGGGAGTTTTGGAGGGAACTGTGGGCAGCTGCCTGGGGAACATACTTATGTAGCAGACAAAACTGGCAACTTGCCTGTCCTCTGGTCTCTAGAACTGATCCCCTGAATTAGGACCAGCCTCCTGCACTGCTGGTTGCCTTGCGGGCCAGCTCTGTGCTGTTTTCCCAATTCATGCAATTCCACCTCAGATCTCATTCACATCAGCTCACACTGCAGGGTGACTTGACATGGAAATACAACGAACGAGTGGGAGATTGTGGCTCTCTTTAATGCGTTCCCCTAGGGTGTCAAGAGCCATCCAACAGGGTATCCTCAGTTCTGCCTGCTTCAGCATCACAGGAAGTCTGATGTTTCCACCTAGCTGGTGAAGCTGCCTTAACTAGAGCTCACCAAGCAGACTATAAAGTCTCTAAATGCAAGACCTTTATTTTACTCATCTGTGAATAGCACGGTAATTACTTACGAGCCTGCTTTGAATTCAGTCAGGTTCTGGCTTGAATATTGATCCTACCACTAAATAACTGGGTAACCTTGGCCACTCAACTTCCCTAACGCTGTTTTATAGTTTATGAGAGAGGAATGATAATGCCCCACTCCTTTGACTTACCGTGGAAATTAAATAGGTCACGTATATAATGCTACTAGTGCAGCTCAAAAGTCTTAGTTGAGTGCTTGAAAGAACAGCGGATTCTATCCAAACAAGGGTGTGCGATTTCAGAAAAGACCGTATCTCTTTATCAGGAGCTACAGTTTGGGCATGGTGGCTCACTCCAGTAATACCAGCACTTCGGGAGGCTGAGGTGGAAGGATCACTGAGCTCAGGAGTTTTAGACCCGCCTAGGTAACCTAGTGAGACACCCACATCTCTAAAAGAAAAGAAAAAAAAAAAAAAAAAAAAGCTAGGCGTGGTGGCCCAAGCCTGTAGCCACAGCTACTGGAGAGGTTAAGGTGGGAGGTGGGAGGATCGCTTGTACCCGGGAGTTCAGGGGCTGCAGTGAGCTGTGATCACACACTACACTCCTGTCTGAGTGACAGGGCAAGACCTTATCACACAAAAAAAGAGCGATTAATAGAAGCATGTGCGTTTGCGATTGTGTCAGTGGTAGTTTAAAGGAGAAATCTTTTGCCAGAGGCTGCAAATGCTATAAAAGTTGGAGTGGATCAGTGCTTGCTTCAAGGGAAGACTGGTTTTCATTTTACCTCCATTGTTTGAATATACAGGTACACCACAGCTTCGATAGGGATACCAAAATAAACAAATTTTAAAAGTACATGAAAGGCCGGACGCAGCGGTTCACACCTGTAATCCCACCGATGGGTGAGGCCGAGGCGGGTGGATCGCTTCAGACCAGCCCGGCCAACAGAGCAAGACCAGCCCCCCACAGCAACAACAAAAAAAGAACTTTTTAAAAAATGAATACGACTTTTTTTTTTTTTTTTTTTTTTTT